AATACATTAATGCTCTCTTTTGAAGTTAGAAATTCTTCAGCATAATGGGATTTTGAGACTAGGGATCAGGGCAGTAGGTGAATTAATTCAACAGCAAAGGTCTCCTTCCCACTCGTGTTCATATACTGCAGTAATCCTTCTGTAGCACTGGGTGTAACAAAGACTCCTTGTAACTTCAGTGAACTCTAAGAGACTAAATGTCATGATAACCTGTAGAGATCTAGTGTCTCCTGAAAACATTTCTTTAACACAAGGAAGCTATATACATTTCAATCCAAATGTAATACATGCTTCCTTTTTCCATGCATATATGGTTATTTAAACTTCTGGATTTTGATTAGTGAATTATAAAAATAATTATCAATCACCATCAATTGAAAATGTTAATCATGTTTTTTGAAGGCATGGATGAAGTATGTAGAGCTGCGGTGGAAGAGAAGCTGGACACCTTACTGCATACCCTGTGAAATACAGTATTTGAAGTCATGCTTTTATTCATCAGTGATACCAGAAGTAACCTCCCAAAGAGGTGCCAGACATAGCACACAGAAATGTTATGCTGGAAGACTTAACTATTTTGTTTGCTTTTCTGAATTTTGAGAGCAATGTTTGTAGAAGCAAGAACACTTTTAAGAATACTGTTTGCTTAATCTTTTTTTTTTTTTTCCAGAAAAAGAGAAATCATGCTTTGAGTTTGGGTTTTTTGTGTTGGTTCATCTTGCTTTTTGGGTTTATTTGAGTTTTTTTAATGTTGATTTTTTTCTTTTCCCAAAATGGTCATTTAGGCAAAATTCTTGTTAAGGCAGTTTCTAGCTTTATTGTTATGTGCTTTTAAATTTCCATTATAGCAGCTGTGAAACTTTTGTTGCCTTGCCCTTTGTTTGGTATTCACCATATCCTGATGAGAACCCATCAGTTGCTGTGAAGAATGCTGCTGCATTTCCACTTCCTAATGCTTTCCAGCAGCTCCATGTCCATTCAACTCCAGTTGAAATAAATGTATTAAAATTACAGCACATGCTACAATTGGTGGAAATCTAAGGGAAAACTTAGCCTAGTTATCAGCTTTTCACAAATGTGAAAACTGTAGGTGAAGTAAGAAAAAGTAGTGAGTAACTTCTCAATTGATGTGAGTGTTGTTATAAAGGAATCAGCCAGCCTTTAGCAAATAGCAGTATTGCTTCTTTTTGGAAGGGAGTTCTTAGCTGAAATTCATTTTCTCTTACATAGTCTATACATTTACCTATCATAGATGCCTTCTTGAGTGGCCAATTAAGCAGGGTTAGTAGTGGCTCTAGGTAAATATCTTAGTGCCGTGAATAGTCCCAGCCTGTTTGTTCAAGTGCTTAACCCATCCCATTCACTGTTTCATTAAGTCATTCTGCTTGTCTGTCGCTCTGAAAGTGGCATCACTTCTTAACTCACCAAAAGCTACACATACACGGTGAAATTTAGCCATTTTGATCATCAGGGTTCTCTAAAGGAAACCCAGTCCTTATGATGATGTTTAGTTGCATGAGTGCTATTTGCTGACATTAGTTCAATGACAGCATGCTATGGAAGACGACATGAAAACATGACTGATACTCAGCAAAGCTTTTTTTCCCAGTAGCTATTCCAACCACTTCATTCAAAGTCACCTTTAAAAAATAGCAATTTCTGATCCTCTGTGCTTCTTCTAACTTTAAACAACCAGTACTGTTTTATTTCACTCCTTACATAGATGAGGATAAATGTGCACACATTACGCTTCTGTAAGCTCTAAACACTGCCCAACAACTTACAGAAGATGTGATCATTATATTCTTTACCAGAAAGCAATGCTGTCACCTGTTCTTCATCTCATTCTGTCATTCCAGTGCAGTAAATCCCCTTTGCCCTAATTCATGGTTGATGTTTGAACAAGCATCCGGAACAGATATTTGTATTAACAGAACTCTGCAGTGCAAATCAGATCTCACAACACTACCACCTTATTCATCTTACTTGAGGAGACAAATAAACCTATCAGCACTGTCCGGTTTCTTTTGCTGTTTGAGGCTCATTCATTTAATTTCTCAGGCTTTTTTCCTCTTTTCCTCATAGCATTTTATGAGCATCTGTATTTAGTTTATGTGTCCACATTAACCCATGTGGTTCAGATAAGCATCATCACTATTTAATTAACTTCTATGTCTAGCCCATAGCAGAATTTTTTTAAAACTAAGATTTAAGTTTTTTTCATTAGTAGTTGTTTGATTTTGTTTTGATATTTCATAAATAACAGGTATATATTATTTAGAAAGATTTCCTATTACTTGTGTTAAGGAGACCCTCCTTTTGTAAGTATAATTTCTGTAGGCATCTGATGTAGATGTTTTAGATTTCAAAGTGTTGGACAGTGCCCTGAACCTTTTCATATCAGGTAGAATACAGTGTACGCAGTGTTTGCCTGCCTCTTAAATAGCTAAATGAACATTCTTCTGTGCCTTGTTGCTGCTAAAAAATGGAAAATAATCTTAACATTTAACTTCATATTTTTCAGTTTTTAGTTAGTGGTAGCAGCAAAAAAACCCCAACAAAGCATACACAGCTACTTGGTGATGTTTCTGTAGTGGTCTGTTTATTGGTAGAGGTTATCACTGAAAGCTGAACACAAATCCCAAAAAGACAGTAATGAATTAGTCCTGTTGCGTAATGATCCAAATCCAAATCAAATATGAAAAGCCAGAAACACAGCCCTGGGAGAATTGATTGAAAGTGAATTTCTCAATTATTCAAAGAAATTAGAACATCTATTGCTATTTAATTGCTCTAATAGCAAATTAGCAGAGGTTTATTGTACCCAGAGTAAGCACGTACTAGTGAAAGTTAACGTATGTTGCAAAAAGTAAAAAAGTCTTTATTTTGTCAGTGGACCATTTATCTCTAGATAAATGTTGATAAAAGAGGTAATTCACATGTGCAGTTGTTGTATGTGTCAACAGTTTTAGTGCATTTACAGGAGATGGGGGAGGAGTTATATGCTGCAGCCACTTAAAAGCTGCTCCACAGTTTTTTGTCATCCTGCATGTTATAGGTGAAGATACACTCATGGTTGCACACTTTTCGGTAGCTACATCTCTGGGTAGCCTTCCAAATTTATACTAATCCTGTTAGTGAGTGGCGAGTAGTCTGAAATTTCAAGGAGCATTGAGTGGTTATTTGATATCATAGCTGAGCTGGTGTACTTTTCCCCCTCATGTATAACATCAAACAAATGCAAGCAGATAGTTAAACAGATATGCAGCTTTAGGTTTCAGAAATGTCCTTAATACAATAGGGAAAATAGAAATTGGATTTATTTTTTTTTTTCTGAAAGATAAAATGCTCAAATGATGTCAAGGAGACTATGATAGAACAAAATGCATTTGTAAATGGTTGACATATTTTTAATAATAGGCAACTCCTTCATAGTTTTAAACATTTTAGCTGTTAAATGTTAAGTGAGGAGTTTAAATCTCACTGTGAAAGCATGGTAAGTGCTACTAAGTCAACAGGTCTTGTTCAGTTGCTCTTGTTCTTTCACTTCTAGTTTTGAGGTAAAACAGTTGATTTTAAAGGAGAGGTTATTAATAAAAACTAGGTTATTCAAGGGCTAGGATCGGGTCTCGTCTCCAGTTTTTGATCAAATAGTGATATCAAGAGATGGCGATAGTTATTTATTAATTAATTACCTTCCCAGTAGTCATTAAGGAAGATGCTGAACAGAAGCGACTCAAATTGAAATCTTAAACCCGAGAAGTCTGATGCATTCATACAAGTTGTTTGGTTGTTTTTTTAACTGACCAAAACCCCTGTGGAGAGTTAATATTTTCTTTGATAAATGTTTGAATAATGCAGAAGTCCCAGAGGACATGAAGAAAACTGAAGGATGAGAAGAAAACTAGCAATGAGCAGAGCTGTTATAAAGAATCAGCTATAAGTTTGTCAAACTGGTGTTGATGTAGGAAAGAATAGCAGAAAAAAGAAATTAAGCTGGATAAAGGAGGCGATGGCAGCTGATTGTGGGAAGCATTTAGGAAATGAACTAGATCGTTTAAAACATCCATTCAGACATTCATTTGCTACAGGTAATATTGTTGATCCGTATGACTTATACCTCTGTAGGGTGTTTGCCTGATTTTTACGTGGCATCTTGGTTACTAAATTATAATGACAGGAAGTCAGCAGAGTAGTCATAAAATGGATAGAAAAGTCATTACAAGACAGGATTCAAAACTGGAAAACATCACTGGGTAGGTCCTACAGACAACATATACATTAATTTACATTACATTATCAGCGTGCCAGCTGCCTGAAGTCTGTGGGGTGGGGCCAGTTGCACCCTTAATGCTTTTTATTACACTCAATTTCATGTTACTCTTGCAGCTATTTACCTGTCACAGATTCTTTTTTTTATTTTAGCGGTGGCTTTAACACCCAAGATAATAACAAGGTAAATGGAGATGTTTAAATTCCCCCTGAGGAACCAGAGGAGAGTGCAAGGCCTCATTTTCCATAACAAAGCTTTTATTAGCACTTGACAAGGAGATGATGCAATGGCTCCAGCCCGCTGGAGGAGCTGGCTCTGACATGCGAGAACAGGAGGCTGCCAAAAGCCTCCCATGGTTTGGCACCTACGAAGTGCCTGTCAGTTTACTTCTGTTCTTAATCTGACAGTCACTAAGAATAGCTCAGGTGGCTGCTTTCTACTAAGAAGAAATCGTGCCCCCCTGAATATTTGTACTAGGAGGGAAGGGAACAATTAGTGAATTGTGCCTTATTTATTTTCTGAGGTTTACAGTTAACAGAGAGCTCTGACTTTTGTTATAATCTCTTGAAAAATACAGAAACATCACAAAGCAAGGAAGGCTATACACTATGGAACCCGAAAATGCTGGACATAGTTTTGCTTGTGATATGGCATGACTTTAAAATTACTTACATTTAAGTACACAGTTTTTTCTGTCTCAGTCGTAACTAATGCGTTTTTTTTACAGCCAGCAATCAGCTGAAGACCTTGCAAGAGTACCAGCTAATTCTACCAGCAATATCTTGAATAGATTATTGCTCAGTTATGATCCCAGGATAAGGCCTAATTTCAAAGGTTTGTCAGATGTTTCAGCCTTTTTTTTTAATCTTTGCAGTTTAACTTTTGCTCTTTTCACACATAAAATTTATATAGAGGTAATATTTACAACCCTTTTGTTTTAATGGTAATTTCTCTAGATAGTGTGAAACTCAGAAGATACTTACTGTTTTGATCTGAAAGATGATATGTTGCGATTTTATGTTTGTAATAGTATGTGATGCTTTGATATGATACTATAATAATTGTTATCATTTTATAAGATTTTTTTAAAGTACAATTTTATTTTACAGAGTAAGTTTTAAAAATACCTTTTTATCCCTACATTTCAGTTATACATTAGAAGTATCTCTGCTTCACTGTATTTTAAAACAACAAAATTCTCTATAGAGATTCTTTAAGATCTCTTTGTAAAATTTGGGATCAGCAGTATCATAGTTTGGAAACCATATAGTTATGAAACCCTTGAAAGATATGTTACCAACACACTTTGCGTTTTCAACTAGATAATGAATTTAAACACACACTCTGATTTTAAAGCATCTCCCTGGTAGTGAAATGTATGAATCTTCCATGTAGGCAAATGTGATTTCCTTTCCTATGCAGAAAAGGCTGGGATACATATTATCTGCGAAACCTCTAATAACCCGTACAGCTGTAAGTTAGTTTTGAGGAATTAGTTTCTTTCCCTGCTGGAAAAAAACATAGGCAATTTTATTGTATTGCAGACGCTGCAGTTCACATAAGTCAATTCTTTCTTTTTTTTAAACTTATATTTAATGATACGTACATTAAGAGACTGTTTAACATGCATTTCAATAGTACTATAACTGTTTAAATCTGCAATCACTATTTTGATTTTGAGGAGACCATTTGCAGGTGTTCGGCTTATCTAAGTTTTATAACTTACTTATTATATATATAAATAAATGTATTAAACTCAATTTTCAGCAAGTGACCTGCTTTTCTCTTATTCTCTGTAGAATCTTATTTGTATGTTTTCAGCACTGAGCCTTGTCACAAAGAATAAATATCCAGCTTCTGTTCTACCTGTTCTTCAGCATGATAGATCACAAAGCATATTGCAGATTTCTTTATGTTTTTGATAACCCTGCTGGCAGTCTGGTAAGAAGCAAGATGGAAGGAAAAGGGAGGACATGCAATGTTAACTCACAGGGAGGTGGAAGAAAAAGAACATTTTCTGACAAGTGGTTTGCCCATGTGAAAATGTTCCTCACACATGAGTGAATTTCTTGGATGGCACTTCCTATTCAAATCTGAAGAGATATTACACTCTTGGCTGCTAGGGGTGTGGTGGGTGCTCTGTCACATGCATCAGGCACTGAACAAAGTCTTATGCTTATTGCATAACCAAACCCACCACATTTAACTGGTCTGATATTTTTTAAAAACCCAACAAACTGGTTAAACTGAAAAAAGTGCATTTTTATCTTAGTGATTTTCTGGTGAACCAGGAGAACGAGTCTGGATTTATGTATTCAGTGTACACTGAAATACTGTATGCAGACAAACAATGAGATGAGGCATATGTTACTTTGTATTTGCTTACTTTGTGAAAATAGTCTGTATATATTGTTCAGTCTCTTATTGCTGAAAATAGGAAGAATTCCACTGAATTAAGTTCTTGTAACAGTGTAAAGGAGATCAGATACATACATCTAGTGCACACACTGACACTCTCAACATACAGGTGCTAAATAAAACCAGTGGACCATAATTAGTTCTCACAGCCATCAGTCCACTTCTCCGTGCTTCATGATAACTCTCTGTTAACACCAGATTAAATGACTGCCAGTCAGTTCCCACAGAGTGACAGAGAGCAGTTGTAGCAGCTGTCACACCATCCCTTTGCAACAACAGGAATCCTGGCTGTGTAAAAGAGGAAAAAATCTGGTCCATCTTAGTATCTTCCTTTTCTTGGCAAGTTGGTGACTATTATAAAACAGAGCAGCTTTCTCTTGCACAAAGGCTGGGCAACTGTGAAAGCTGCATGCAGCAATTTATACCTGCCTGTATTTATACATTGCAGTATTGTACTTGGCTTGCACAATGTATCCTCTTACAACGTAAGGAAGTGTGTCATTATAAATTATAAACAGAATCATAGAACCATAGAATCACAGAATCATAGAATCACAGAATCATAGAATCATAGAACCATAGAATCATAGAATATGTGGGGTTGAAAGGGACCTTTAAAGGTCATCTAGTCCAGCCCTCCTTGCAGTGCAAAGGGGCCTTTTTAGCTAGATCAGACTGCTCAGAGCCTCATCAAGCCTGGTCTTGAAAGTCTCCAGGGATGGGGCCCCCACTACCTCTCTGAGTAATCTGTTCCAGAGCTTCACCATCCTCATAGTAAAGAACTTCTTCCTGATAACCAATCTAAATCTACCTTGCTCTAGTTTAAGACCACTACACCTCATCCTATGTCTGCATTGTAAAATGTCCCTCTGCCCAGCTTTTCTGCGGGCCCTCTTCAAGTACTGGCAGGCTGCTGTAAGGTCTCCCTTGCAGCCTCCTCCAGGCTGAACAACCCTAACTTTCTCAGCCTGTCTTTGTAGGAGAGATGCTCCAACAGCCCTCTTACCATTTTTGTGGCCCTTCTCTGGACTCATTCCAACAGGTCCATGTCTGTCTTTGTATTGAGAGCTCCAGAACCGGATACAACATTCCAGGTGAGGTCTTAGAAGGGCAGAACAGAGAGGTAGAATCACCTCCTTTGACCTGTTGGCCACGCTTCTTTTGATGCAGCCCAGGATGCAATTGGCCCTCTGAGCTGCAAATGCACATTGTTTGCTCATATCCAACTTTTCCTCCACTAGTATCCCTAAGGGCTGCTCTCTATCACATCATGCCCCATTTGTATTGATAACAATGATTGTCCCTCCCCAGGCGCAGGACCTTGCACTTGGCATTGTTGAACCTCATGAGGTTCACAAGGGCCCCCTTCTCTAGCCTGTCCAGGTTCCTCTGGATAATATTCTGTCCCTCTGGCGTGTCATCTGCACAAGTCAGCTTGGTGTCATCTGCAAACTTGCTGAGCCTGCCTTGATCCCACTGTCTGTGTCGTTGATGTACATATTAAACAGTACTAGTCCCAGTACAGACCTCTGAGGGACACCACTTGTCACCCAGGTAATTTGGGATGGTAGATCATCATTATGACCTTGACAGTTAAAAGTGTCTGTCACTAGAAATGTGAATTGCCTCTATCCATTACACTGCGTGCAAAAGAAATACTGGATTGTGCATTCTGTGATAACAGAAAATCATAAAATTTGACAATTATTCAAATTTATGATCTGTGAAATGCTTTAAACTTAACACCCTGGACTAAGGGTATTTTTTTCTCTTTTATTATAATGAAGTTGAAAAGAGTTTTTGAGATTTCTGTTTTCTCTCAATGGAAATAGATTAAACTGCAGCTTTTGAAAACTGTTTTTATACTAACTTGAAAAGATAAATTTGTATGACCTTATAAAAAATATTTCACACTGTGATACTGGTATAAAGAAACTTTAAATAAATGATAACATATCTTTACTGGATTGTGCAGTTCACTAGAAATTTTTTATTTTTTATTTTTTTTTTAAGGAATTCCAGTCGATGTTGCAGTCAACATCTTCATTAACAGCTTTGGGTCAATTCAAGAGACAACTATGGTAAGACTGAAATGAAATTAATAAGGCACTCATGGAAATTTTTTTATTAAATTTCAGGCTGAGGATTATGAACTGTAAATTTGAAATCATTGTTATGATTGCAGACACTGAGAATTGAGTTAATAGGGTTAGTGATAGACTGACTGTTTTATGTCATGAACTTATTAATCTGTTTCACTCTGTATTTGTCCACACATTGTTTTTAGAGTCTGATGCATATTGAAGGAAATCCACAGTTTCTAAGATATAAGAAAGACACTGATTTCCATAAGGGAAATTCCAGGGGAATTAATTTGATGTCTAGGTTGGTTGATACGTTAGTATACAAAATACAAAACCTGTATATGAGAAAAAAAGAACATATATGTGTAAAGCTGAAGCATGCAGGTTCTCTGTTTTATGTAGTTCTGAGGATAAGAGTAAATAATGGAGGAGTAGAAGGAGAAATAAAGGAGTAGATCATCAATTACCATACTCCTGTTTATTTACTGTGTGAGGTAAACTGAGGAGTGAATTTTCTAAAGATGTGTTCCCACAGTTCAGTCATAAAATTTCAACATGTCAGTAACAGCACAAAATAATCCTCATTAGAATTTTGACTTTTTTGTCAATTAAAAAAAAAGTCATTTCAGCAAAGCCATTTCAAATAATTTAGGACTTGAAGATCTTCTTTGCAATGATATATCCAATAACTACTGTCAAATTATTTAAAAAAAAACAAACAAAAATTTAATTGCTGAAGATGTTCTGACCTGATTGGGGTTGTCTTTTATGAAAAAAAGAGGGGAGGACACCATGTCTTACCTGTACGTGGGAAGCCAGAGCCAGGGCATGCGCTCAGCATGGGTGTTCTGAGGTGCTCCCTGAGCATCCCATTTAGAAATTACTTTGGTGATCTGTTGCATTCAAAGCATTCAGGCAGTTCCCTAAGCCAGGTTGCTCTTTTTAATGCTGTGGCTAAGGCAGCATTCCTAGTCATAATGGCACAGAAGCAATAAACCATAATACAGCTAATTAATAAAACACCTTTTGTTGTCAGAGGAAGTAAGCACCCTCTTAAAATTCAGAACCAGCTTACACGATGTCCTAATGACATTTCAGCAGGGCTGCAGAGCTGCTGAAAGGTAAACATATGTGATGGCTGAAACAGCTTTTGAATCACTTGGCCAGGAATTTGTTTCTTTAACTAAGAGTGAATAAAGATTTGGATTTGATTGAAAATGATAGTAAGTCAACTAATAGCATTAGTGGGAAGTGATATTAAAACAAAGAATGTAAGTGTGCTGAACATACCTTGAGATTTATTTCCTGAAAACAAAAAGGAGACTGAAGTTTAAAGACAGGCAGGAAAGTAGGAGTGAGATAAGCATTTAAGATGGCAGGTATATTAGGCCAGATGGCTCTTTCAAGTTTCTGAGATTTATTGCTTGTTCTAAAAAGTGACTTTCACAGAAATTTTTTTACAATTCACCCAGATCCAAAGAGCAACAAAACATGAATGCAAGGGATGTGCTTCCCACAAAAAAAATCAAGTATGCATTCTGCAACGATACATGTATGCCTGTCTGTGAATTCCAGATATGGCCACTCACAAATTTACTAGGATGTTTTGTAAGATGCCTCCTCCGTATTTCAGAACTTCAGACACCATCCTTTAATTTATGCTTTTATTTAGATTTCTACATTCAGCCAATCACCATGATAGCTAAGCATGTTTATGGGAAGTTTGGATTATTTCTTGGTTGCCTTAATGTATCACAGGAAGCACTGACAAAATAAACATTCCATCTGTTCTTCCATGTATCGCTTCGGAAACTCTTCCCGCTGCAGTTGGTGTTGGGTTCTGTGGCATTCAGGAACCACTGCTCTCTTGAGGATATTCTGGTACTTGTCTTCAGATGGTCTGGGTAATGTACCAGATAGTAGAAGCAAGTCCCTTAAACTAGGGAAAAACTGGTACCTCCAGAACCACAGCAAAAGTGTTTCCTAGAGCTGAGGCACCAAGTTTTTGGAGGACCAGAGGGTCCTCTTGCATTCAGAAAGGAGAGACATTTGCATGCAGTGACAGAAGTACTGAAAAAGCTTCCTCAGTGTTGGAGGGGATAGTGGCTGTCTGCACCTCTACTGTCTCAGGCATTGAATTTTTGTATGTGAATTGTGAGGAATATTGATTCCTAGACTTTCTCTGAAGTTACCAGAATCTACTAAAGTAGTTGGAGTGATATCAATGCTGCTTGCAAAATCTGTGAAATTATGTATCTCTCAGTATTTCTGTTGATGAAGTATTGTGAAGATTCTTGTCTCTGTAGTCACTTGTGGCTGTAACAGTTGAATTCATAGGTTCCACAAGATCTATGTGGGGGTAAAGCATCCTGATTTAGCCATGCTAAAGGGACAATTCTATCTCTTGGGTGATGGAAGGGTGGGGACAAACAACCATGGGTGCAAAGTGATTGGAAGTTTTTTTTGGTGGAGTGTGTGTGGTTGCTTCTGTTTGGTGTGGTTTTTTTGTGTTGATGGTTGGACTTGGTGATCTCAGAGATCCTTTCCAACCATGATGATTCTCTGAATCTGTGATTCTGTAATAAGGTGTCCTGTATCCTACTCTGGGACCCTTCTCTGACATACACATGTATTGAACAAGTTACCTGGAAAAGCTAAAGAAAAAATGAATTAACTACAGAGTGAATAAACATTTTTACACCTAAAATGGGGAAGAGCTTTTATCAGAGCTGCTGCCTTCCAGTAGATTCCCTTTATCTTAAATCCTGTAACTTGTGTCCTAGCTCATCAGACTATTTGTCTGGGATCCTTGTACTAACTCCACTTCTGATTTTGCAGATGTGTTTTTAGATTGCATATCTGAGGGATATTGTGATCTCAGAGATCCTTTCCAACCATGATGATTCTCTGAATCTGTGATTCTGTAATAAGGTGTCCTGTATCCTACTCTGGGACCCTTCTCTGACATACACATGTATTGAACAAGTTACCTGGAAAAGCTAAAGAAAAAATGAATTAACTACAGAGTGAATAAACATTTTTACACCTAAAATGGGGAAGAGCTTTTATCAGAGCTGCTGCCTTCCAGTAGATTCCCTTTATCTTAAATCCTGTAACTTGTGTCCTAGCTCATCAGACTATTTGTCTGGGATCCTTGTACTAACTCCACTTCTGATTTTGCAGATGTGTTTTTAGATTGCATATCTGAGGGATATTGTGGTGATTATGTCACATTTAGAAAGTGTTACAGGCTTGAAGTCCAGTTAAGGATTCCCAGGGATAGATCCTTTCTGGTACAAATACCCATAGGGCTCTAAAAATTTTAGCTGTGCTGCTGATTTGACTCACTTTCTAAAGAATCTGTATTTGTAGATTTGTACTTGCAGTGTAAGCTTTCTTCACTGACTCAAATAGCAAAACACCATTTACTCCTTCTCCTTTACTTTAAAACCTTGCAGAAAGGTCTTTCAATTTTTATGTATATAAAGGAAATTTTTGTTTCTTTATTTTACTCTTAAAAATGCCATTTTCTACTTTATTAAAAGAGCACTGTTATGCTTTCGTTCTTTGTATGAGTACAGTTCATGTAGAAAAAGTCTTTCATGATCTTCTATGTGCTTTGGTTTGCAGAAAGATATGTATTGGCTATGCCTGGTTTCTGGCCTGAGGAGTTTTTCTGGCCACATGCCCACTGTTTAGTAGGTTGCATTTGAAATATTTCCTAGAATGCCTCCCCTTTCAACCTACCTGAAAACAACTTGCCTTCTGTTGGTGTTTCATGGGAGAACAAAGCCCTGTAGAATAGTGCTGTGATTCTTTTTACCTACTGGATTCTCCCAAATCTAATGCTGATGAATGTCTCTTCCACACAACTCCCTGCCCCAGTTTCAAGCTTTTTAATTGCTATTTGGCTTTCCTTTTTTATAAAAAACTGATCATTCTGCAGTACTCAAAGAGTGTTTGTAAAAAGCATAGGAAGAAGATCGTGTGATCCTCTTTTAAACCTCATTGTGGTGCACATAATGATTCTTCAAGTTGATTGCCCAAATTTGAGAGAACTGGTTTATACCAGATGCTGTAATAGTTCGTAGTCTTTTAAGCAGAAACCCTTCTGCACATAATTTTCTGACTAGCCAGTTTTTGTATCCTGACTTTTGCTTCCTTCTACATTTTTTATATTGCCTCAAGTCTGTTGGTGGCTTTCCTCTCCGAGTGAAGCTTGCCACAAATTTGTAGTTGATAGATAGGTCCCAACCTACTGGTTTTAGGTATATCAAGTTCTTCAAATGTCACAACATCTTGTTGTTTGATATGTTTATTTGTAATAGAGCAAGGAAGAAAATAAAATAGCGTCGACCTGATCTTACTTCCAATTCTTATTTTGCCAGTGCATTCTGCTTTTCAGTGATGTAAACATCTCCTTCTTCTGAATGGGTAAGCTGAAGGCAAGTGTTAGACACTGCTTATCATTTGCCTATGGCTTTGAGAAGGCATCTTATTTTGTTAAATTAGGGTAATGCACTAATTTATGGGGAAATTAATTTTGGTGTCATGAACAGTGTAATGCTTGTGAGCATGAATAATACGCAGTGTTTATCCCATATGTTTTAAAGTAACTATTTTCACTGAGACAAGAAATGCATATGGAATGGGAACTTCAGCAAGAAGCAAGTAAAGTACATTTTCAATTATATACATATAATTGAAAAGATGCCTTCTGAGGAAATGACCTGAATTCCCTCCTCTGAAGCTTGTCTATGAGAGACTTCGAGTACAAAGTCTCTTCATATCAACTATTTTTTATACTTCTTTACTTTGACAAGTTAATATAGGTCTTTGTATAAGTAAGTCAGACTACACTTTTTTTTTTTCAAAACTGGCCTTCCAACAAGTAACATATCTCTCAGAACTATGCATATTAACAAATATTGCCTCGGTTCTTTCTACTTGGTTATGATGCTTTGCATTTCCTTACAAAGCAGTAAGGGAAAATATTACACAGTACAGTGTAATAAAAAGAATACTTGGACATGGGAAAGTTGGCACCATATTCCAATTAACCGGGTAAATCAACAGGGTAGATCATTCTGCATGAAGTTTTAGCCAAGTTAACTCCTTCCTGTTGGAGTTAGCATGACTGTCTCAACGTGGCACTTGCTTTGGACAGTAAATGTATACATTATAGTAAGAACTATAGAAGAGGATTCAGATTTTATCAAGAGAAAAATGTGTAAGAGAGCGTTAACAAGTAAAACAAACAAATTTATAAACTTGATTTGTTGTGCAGAATACATTCACAAACCCAAAACATATCGAGAACCTTCACTCACAGATTTCTAGCATTTTGCTATAATTCTAAAGCAGTAACAGTGTTTCCACTACTCTAAAATATACAGCCCTTATATCGGGATGCTTTGTACCTAATAGACATGTATGAAATAACATAACACACCATAGAAGAAAATCAGAAAGGCTGGAGATAGACATTATCTTACAGATAGAATTTTGGGGAGTTTGTGTTTGGGTCTTTTTACTTTATTTCAACATTACTTTTATTCTCCTCCTCTATGTGATCTGTCTAGTTTACATATACATTTAAAAGAGGCACCAGCTTAAATGTAAATGTCAAAAGCAAAAAGACTCAGAGGTAAGACTGAAAAATCATAACTGACATACTGGGTCAGATTTTTCCTTTGGATGCACACAGCTTTCGCTGAGGACAGAACGCGTACGGGTATCGTTTTGCCCTTGAGACACATACTACTCCAGTTCCCAAAGGCAAAATTAGGTTCTCGTTAAGCAAGGCTCTACTACTGTCCATCCTTGAGCACAAGTCCTAGTGATTCCAGAAGGAGGTTTCCTCTGTGTAAAGCCATGGTTTTGTCTCTTTGAGACCCGTTCTCTTTCTGCTTTCATACATGCTACCTCAGCACTTGTGTTGCAAGTTGGCATCAGTTTTCCTCAATTATCAAGATAGTCGCAAATCACTGTTACAAGGTCTGAGCCTGCATTCTGGGTGTGCAGAGTAAAATCTGTTACCTACCATGTCCGTTTTCTGCCTTTATGGTGTGTTATTGTGCCATCAGTGTGCCACTGAACCAAATGGAGAATAAGCTGGAATTTACACTTGCAGGATATCCTGATAGAAGTGATATCATGCTTGCTGCCTGCAGCAATTTAATATAGTCAAGCTATGGCCTCCCTCTGCCCTGCTGCATGCTTTTCTATATGCCTAGGTAATGGGGCTACAACTGAGGGGATGCAAAAATTATTTTGGGGGAAAATGTGGTCCTTTTTTAAAGAAAGTTACTACATCCAAAATGTGAGTGAGACACAGTCTATCTATTTGGAGTAAAGTCTATAAAACTTCACATTTATTAATGCCATTTGAATAGTCATTACTATCTTTGTAATAGAAAAATCATGATGTAAATTGTTTTTCTCTTCAGAGTCTGTTAGAATGGTTTCCTTTCTCTGTGGGATTTTGACTAGATTTCTGGCTGGTCTAATATTTATGTCTTCTTCCTATCAGGATTATAGAGTCAACATCTTTCTAAGACAGAAGTGGAATGACCCAAGACTCAAACTTCCCAATGACTGGAGGGGTTCAGACACACTGACAGTGGACCCAACTATGTTTAAATGTCTGTGGAAGCCAGACTTATTCTTTGCAAATGAAAAAAATGCTAACTTCCATGATGTCACACAAGAAAATATCCTTCTTTTTATATTTCGGGATGGAGATGTCCTAGTCAGCATGAGGTATTTTACTGCTATATTTCTAGTCTTTTTTAAAATTACTTGATATGAGAGATACACGCTGCGTTAGTCTTAGTATTGTAATACGGTTTATGAATAATATTTAAATGTATATGACAGTTTGTTAACACTACAATTCATTGAAATGTGTATAAAGAAATCAGATTTTTTAAAGTGTGTCGGTTGACAGTGCAGCAAGTGCCAGAAGTTTGAATTGTATTACAGTTGTATGTCATGTTGAGCTAAAATATTAAGTAAAATAGTATAATTGAAAAGAAATTTAAATCCTTTCACTAACTGCTTTGATTCTTGGAAGCAAAATGAAATTAATAATATCTGTGAAGCCTTCAGCAACAGGCAGAAATTGCAAAATTTGTAGATACGAATGTTTTGTAAAAGTAATGGGACATAATCCTGATTACATTGTATGCCTTACTAGTATAGATTTTTTCAGAGGACCCAAAAATATCATATCATTTTATTACAAGTAATGCTTACTATTTTGTGGATTTCATTGGCTTATCAAAGGTATATACCATGCCCTAAAATTAATAATCCACTAAAAACAATGAATTGCTTTATTAAAAAGGATCTCATAATCAATTACAGATCTGGAGAGTTTATACATGCAATGATTTGTAGAAACTAGGCTAAATTTCCTAACAGTGTGTGAATCTTCTTTGGGTGTGAACTTGAACAAATTTCCCCAGTGAGGAAAAATGAGATGAAAAAATTACCCAGGTGTACTGCAGCTTTACTTTTAAGAGGGAACCACTTCGGAAATTATGGTCAAATAAGCAGTTTCTTCTTGGAGCAGAACTGGCCATAAAAAATAAGAAAGACCATGGGAGAGACTTGGTTCTTCTTTGTCCTGTCCAAATCAGGATCAGGAAACACAGTCTCAAGAATTTTTCCTGACAATGATCAGAAAAGAAAATATATTGCCTAATCAAAGCATTTCATTTGGCTTGCTCTGAAGGTCCTGATTCTGATTTCAGTTGTTTCTGTAGCATGTAGAATTTAATTTTTCAAAATAGAAAATCACTTTCATCCGTGAAAGAAACTTTCTATTTGAAATCACAAATGTTAAATAAAACATTTGAATTGTAACAAATATTTTTCCAGATTGCAGCTATATATAAATGATCTTATTTCAGTCAATAGGTTAGGTTAGCAAATAGTGAATACTGATTGAATACTAATAAAACTGTTTCTGATGGAAAAATGTTTCTCTGAAAACTTCCAAATAACAAAATCAAAAGTTGCCCTCTAAAAATATTATCTTTATTTTAATAATACACTATGGTTATGAATTTTATGCATGCAGGTAAGATTAATTTTTTGAGGCACTGTGGTTTGGTGACATGCTACTGAGATTTTAATTTTTAAAAATGTATAATTGCTATGCATTTGTATTTTTAGTTTACAGAGTTGTTATCACATATAAATGAAAGAATCTCCAGTTATCAAAATAAATGAATGAAAAAATGCATGTGAAAGGAAACTCTTGCTGCATAAATAGTTAGAAATTAAGAAACTGAATGTAGGAATAAAGAGTGAGTATTCACATGACGGGAATTAAGAAGTAGAGGCCCACAGAAAAAACTCTTCTGGGTCCTGTACTGTTCAACATAAATCATCTGGAAAACTGTGAATTGACAGGTGCTTTTGATGATGACAGAATATTCAGGATAGTAAAGATAAGAGACATCACTGAGAATTACAAATCAATCTCGTGAGTTGGCAGCAAAGTATGCAATCAAATTCAATGTAAATAACTGAAAATTATGCACATGGTAAAAAGTTATTATAATTTTATGTAAAAACTGATTGGTTTTGTGGTGGTTATTGCCAGATAGGAAAATGACCTTTGGGTAATAATGGCTAGTTGTCTGAAATTGTCAGTTAGCAACTCAGTACTGTTTGAGAAAGTGAACTGAATTCATGGAAGTATTAGTGATTAAAGAAATAAATTCATGCTATTCTTGGATCTTGAATAGAAGGTGCAGTTCTGGTCTTCCCACTGCAAGAAGGGAGACAAGAATGGTCAAAAGTATGGAACAGTATCCTTTATAAACTGCTAAGCAAGGCTGATCTTTTCACACTGGAGAAAATAAGATAACTGAGATAGTGGCACAGAGGTCTTTAAATGATTAATAGCACAGAGAGAATGGACAGACAACAATTTTCCCCCTTCTTTTCCAGGAAAAGAACTATGAAACAGGCTCAAGATATTTGAAAGATTATTAGAATGTGTGCAGCTTAGCTATGGTATTCCTTGCTGCAGAATGCTATGCATTATTAAAGTTTACACAGATTGCAGAAAGCAGCTGGAAGCAAAGCAGCTTCTTGAAGGCACAAGAAATCTGTTGGGGGCCCTTAAATACTGAAAGGTCACTTCTGATTTAGGAAGTCCTTGAGGTGCAACTTTTGAGAGACTGATGGTTATCTGGCAAAATACAATTTCCTGATTGCTGTAATCTCATATTGTCATCCAGGAGTCTGCTACTGGGCCACAGCTAGATACAGGACTTCGTTCTGTACGGCCTTTGATTTGGTTATTCTTATAACTTAGATGTATTTTGTCATGCATTAGGAAGTCTCTAAATGTGAACTACTATATATTTAAAGGTATGATTTTTTATTCTCAGACTATTAGAGATATCTCAATTTCCAACTGCTACTTACAACTTTAATTACATTTTTCTGCTATTTTAGAAGCTGAAAATCAAAAATCTGTTATTTTTTTCTTATTGCCATCTACTACTTATGTGGCAGCTCACACTGCTTTTAAATTCCACTTGTGTATTTTCAGATTGTCTATTACGCTGTCATGCCCTTTGGACTTGACCTTGTTCCCTATGGATACGCAGCGCTGCAAGATGCAATTGGAAAGCTGTATGTAAATCAGTCTGTGCATAAAAACAGTTGCCTTCTGGGCATGCCTGTGGATCAAATGAAAACTCATCAATTCTGTATTGTTCATGTCAACATTTTAAATGAGTGTTGAAATTAATACTCACTGGTTCCTTCCAACATACATTTCCCTATCAAAAATGTTTCTTATGGTTATGGCAGCATGAACTCTGTTTTTAGCTTTTGCTATTAAGTATAATGACAACTGATTTACTTCATAAAAACATTTACAATAAACTTAGTAAAATGAAAACACATATCATTTGGAAAAAAAGAATCCATGGTTTCCCCAGATAGTTTTAACTTCTACAACATGTGGTGCTTTGTAAGTTGTTGGGGTCCAGTTTAACCCCTTGCATTGGTGGTGAACAGTATTGTTTGAAAGTCTTTTGATACAGTACTGAAAGAAAGGAATTTTATGCCAATACATTGAGAGCATTTAGTATGAAACGTTTTGAAAGCAGTTTCAAGATGTGTTGTGAACGTAGTCAAGCATGTCTCCCTTATCCCAGTCCTTCCCTGGTCTCTATGTGACTTGATCTTATGAAGAGGCAGCCAGGTCTCATCCCTGAAGGGCTTCATGCCATGCTGGAAGTTGCAGCTAAACTGTTTCTAAAACTCATTCTCTTTCATGCTTCCCAACTATAAGGGTGCCTACTTGAGCACAGCCTTTTCCCAACACTCCAGTCCCTGGTGATCCAAATTTCATGGCACTTCTGCTTTCCTGAATAAGAACAAGTGTGAAGCAGAGAGAAGGAAGGTGGCTTGCTCCAGTCCATTCCTTCCATAATTCATAAACTTTGTTGTTAGTGCACCAGGTCTAGTAGAGAAGATAAGGCTGGGGAAGGGAAGACAGAAGTGAGGAAAGAGTCAGGTTAATCAGTGCTGAGCAGGACACCCCTGTGGGGACAAGGTTAATAATAATGATATTGAGCTTTACAGTTTAGTTTTTGATTGGCAGCATTTACCTTTAGAACTGTGCTACGTCTGTAGTAGTTTTGCCTTTCACTAGTATGTATATACATTGTCTGAAGTAAACTCTTGTGGTAAACCCAAATCAACTGGATTAAACTGGAATTAGACAATGATATTAATGGAAGTTTGCTCAAGCTTTCTCAATCTAGGTTGCTTTACAAGCATTGCAAGGTATAGTTATTCAAGTATGAATTACTCTTAAAAAAATGCTCATTAATTTTATTTAAACAACCTAATTGTCTCTCTTCATGCTAAGCTCATATATTAAAATTTGCTCCTTTTCGAAAGACTGTGCAGTAGAATTTCTTGTATCTTTTAATTACGTTGTTAAAAATAAGAATGGTACCCATGACATCCTGACTGTCCCTCCAGTTCTAACAGTGAGCTTGCTTTCCCTGTTATCCAGTGGCAATTTTATGCTACTTAGGTTATTTTCAAATCAACATTTTGGTTTTAGTTGCTAGATTTCCAAAGCAAAGAAGGACACAGGTTTTTACTAAGCTGTTCTTTTATCTGCAGTGTGATCCCCAGTTCTGCACATTCCCTGTGGACAAAATTGTTGGTGTCCACTAATTGATATCATAAAGGATTTTGGCAGTTTTGTGATTTGCTGTATGTTGTAAGGGGGTGAGACTGATTTTATAAATTAAAAAGTAAAACAAGTATTTATTTTTTTTAATATATTCTTTTCCATCATAGAACTTTGAGACATTGTTATTTTTACTAAGTTGTGAATCTTAGAAAGGTCCATATCCAGGAGATCATGAAAGCACTGATTTCAGTAGGTCTACACATCTACTAAAATTCCTGGTCAAGTATTGCCGGAATGGCAGTGTTTTCTTGAATCTGGGCCTTTAATCTGAACAACTAAGCAGACAGGTTGTTTTACACAAAACCCAAGATTCATCACAGTACTTGTGTTGTTAAATGCTTTTGAAATTTTAAAGACTTTTGAGTGCTGTTAAAGTTCAGTATATTTTTCATGTTTTGCTGAAGTACAGTATGAATTAATCTGGAGTTTTCAAACCTGTGGAGAGCAGAGCTTTACTTACTTTGTTTAAACAGTAAGCACTGGAAGAGGAACTTCAATCAGTGTAATATTGCCAGTAACTTCTGTTCCACCCACCAAGTCCAAATTGTCCACCCACCTACATAAAAACTCAGTTGTGGATTATTTCATTTTTGTATTTAATTCTTTGAGCAGAAAATAGAAAAAGAGAGAAAGAAATACATATATGCTAGATTTTCTTGCAGAGTTTACTCTGACTGAGATGGTTCTTTAAACAATTATTATTATTTTGTTCTTGTAGTTGGTTACACAACTGATGACTTACGGTTTATCTGGCAGTCTGGAGATCCTGTACAGCTAGAGAAAATTGCTCTGCCTCAGTTTGATATTAAGAAGGAGGATATCGAGTATGGTAACTGTACCAAATATTATAAAGGCACAGGTAGGTAACATAAGTGATTCATTTGGTAAAAACCTTTTAGCTTCCTTCAGTTATTGTTTATAGTTAATGAGTAATATTCCAGTTCTTGTCTTACATTTAATGGGTTAAAGTAAATTATTTGTAAGTAATAATAGTAACAATCATATGTGATTACTGCAAACAAACTCAAATATGGAAACCTGGAGGATAAATATGAGATTAAATGTTTATGTTGGTTTTGCTTACGTGTCTTGTGATCTTACTATCACCATTTTGTTTCTGCAGTTCTAGTACCACTTATGTAAGTGTCTAGCTTTTCTGAAAGGATTTTCACATAGAATTATGCCACTTGCAGCAAAGTAGGATAATTTTGGTTTTCTGGTTCAGCTTTTGTTCCGGAAGTGGACAGTATTAGACTGTAGCTTCCAATGCTTTGCCCTGCAGGGTCTTCCTTTCTCTAAGTGTTCTAGAAAGCATCAATATAGAACGCTGCTTACAATCCTCAGCCCTGTATTTATTTAATCCTATGATTGTTTTCTGTGTGTGAGCACAAATTTATCCAGTCTGTACCCTGGCTTCTAATTATTTATCTTTTTGCCTTGATTGATTCCTGCCTATCATGATATCCAAACTGCTCACATACTGTGGCAACTGCAAGGCTTTCTGCAACAGCAGAGGTCAACGGGGTGTATTTTAGTTCATGCTTTTGCATCATATGAATAAATCTCCCATTAACACTCAACGAGGATGGCTGGGTGCTGCAGTTTCTGAAGATGCTCTGCAAGTTTCTTGTTGACTATTCAGCTCAAGTTGAGAGTTTATCTCTTTCAGTTGCTTCTGAGCTAGATCCCAGATCTGAATGGATCTGAAGTAACCTCAGTAGATCTCAGAGTTAAGGAATTTAACTTGAAAAAGATAATGAAAATTGAAACATTGTTTGTTTTTTAACTGCAAAATGAGTGAGTTCCTAGTCTAGCTACTTAATTCAGCTTCTCAGGTGATTTACCATTCGTAAATAATATGAAATTAGTTCTTCTCAGGAAAATTCTGCATTTGTGAAAGCACAACAGTGATAGCATTCAAATCTATATCAGGTCATGGTAGAAGCTTGCTTAGCAGTGAGAAAAATATTTTATTCTTATTTAAACAATGAGTCTGCAAAAAAAAAATAGGCTATAAAGTAGTAAAAAAAAATAAAAAAGGAATGAATTTTTCACTTCCCAAATAAAATTTGTACAAATGGAAAAATTGGATTCTATTAGCAGGGAAAAGGGAATACTTACTCAAGATTGCTGTCTTGGTATTGAAGTTATCATGATAATTTTGAGTTATGCTCTAAATTTAAAATTAAATATCTAAAAAAAATCTTTAGATATTTTAGGTATTTTAAGGAAACTTATAGAAAAATTTAACAATTGTACAGTTTACCATTAAACAGGAAAGAAAACTAGTAGTGTTCTCTCAAGTTTCAGCACCTTGTGACCACAGGTTGAACTGACACTGCAAGATGCTCAGTAAAATGGTCACATTTAGTGTGTGTGTATATGATTTGAACATTAAAGAAAGAACATGAGAGACCCATCAGAGTGCCTGGAGTGACAACATGATGTTTTAATCAATTATCTTAACTCTTTTATTGTATAACTTTTTTGTTTAAAAATTAAGAACATCCATGTAATCTCTAAATCAAGACTGGAATGAATACTACATCAGTGCGAATGGAATATTTTAGTACTCTGAAGATTTTTTAAAGAGTGTTTTCAGTAATCAGTAGTTTGATTTACTTGAAATTTTTGTATGGAAAATATTTTTTAAAGCAGATTTTGCACACACAGTTAAAATTAATTCAGGTAAGGGTTTTGTCAGGTAATCAAGAGGCAGTGTTGCATGTACAAGAAAATTTTTGAAATTATGGCTTGCTTAGAAGATTCTGGCCAATCGCAAAGAAATTAATCTTCACTGCCTATTCACATCAACTGATATTTACCAAACCTACACAAGTACAAAGAGGGTCAAGAAATTTGGTGTGACGTTACGGTCATAAATTTAATATTTAAATTTGCAAATTGCCTATTCCATCAAAGTGTATGACAGATCCAAATAAGTCCTTGCCAGCTGAATGGTGAGGGCAATAGATACTATCCTCTGCCTGATGAAAGGTGTTACCAAGTGATACAGAATGCATTTCTTTCATAAAGAAAACAAACAATGATTTTGAAGTTCATCCCTCTGAAAATGAAACCTAAAAGTATCTGGAAACTATTCAGAAAATATAGAGGGGATTTGTCAGACAACAGGTCATTGAAGAGAATAGAAAGAACTATGAAATACCATGTAGTGTCTTCTACAGAAGGATTTTTTTTCCTTAGTGTTTTATTTTGTTGTTATTTTATTTTATGCCAAACGGAACTTTTAAGATGACTTATCATTCCATGATAGTTAATTAAGGAAATATAGAAGATGAATGCATATATTTTTAACAGATTTTATCTTCTAAATCAGCTTTGCACAGACTTTATTTATAGATACAGACTGATCTGAATTTTTAAATTGCTGTAATATGACATAGGAGTACCTTTTTCTTGTGACAGAATAGTTTACAAAGCTTTTTTTACAATGCTGTTATGTTTATATTAACATAAAAATGCCAGATCTCCTAATTGTCTGAAAATCTGAATAGAATTTGTTTTCAGGTTATTGGACTTCCTGATCCATCTGTTGTCTCAAGCAAAACCTCTAATATTGGCAGCTTTATTTTTTATTGGCTTCATGTTAACAGATATCTGAAACATTTGGGAGATTTAGATCCTCACTTGAAAGACTAGAGGCAGTATTCCTTGTTTTCAAAAACTACAGTGTTTTTTACAATAATATTTTTAAAGTCTGTACTAATGTTAGAAGTCACCTGTACCAGCATTCAGTGCTGCAGGAATCTGCTTAGGGTCACAGTCAGATAATCTCTTTCAATTTTAAACTTTTTACACTAATATTTCTTTATTTCATCCTTTGCACAACTTAATGCAAAGTAGGATTTTCAGCTTATAAGCTAGTATGACTGCTAGACTGCATTGTTTTTATCTGGACTGAATCTTAAAGCCAGCAGCAGGATGAGAGTCACTTTAAGTGCCTGTTACTGGCAGCTTTGTGAAAAGGAGGAGGGTGCCTTACAGAGCACAGAGGGTACGACATGCCTGGCCACACTTGGCAGTTATTTAGTTCGATGTTTTAAACATTTATTTTTTCAAATTGAACTATTTGCCTTCATAAAGAAAACCAAATAATTGAACTTTTCCTAATTTTTGCTTAGAAAAAGGCCTAGTAGTTATGGATCTGAAGAGGTTGACCTGCAAAGCACATGAAACACTAATGAATTTATTTCTTTAAAGGTTATTACACTTGTGTAGAAGTAATCTTCACTTTAAGAAGACAAGTTGGATTTTACATGATGGGTGTTTATGCTCCTACACTGCTAATTGTTGTTCTATCCTGGCTGTCCTTTTGGATCAATCCTGATGCAAGTGCTGCAAGAGTCCCGCTGGGTAACCTGCGTTTACACGTGCCGTCAGTCCGCTGCAGTGTCATTCAGCCATTCTCTGTTGCTTTGACAACATGATGCTAGAAACTGAAAGCAACTTCACTTCCATTATCCAATCATCATTTTCACTGAAACCTCCTCATTCCTAGTCCTGTAAAATCCATCTCAACACTGAGACTTTGCTTGATAGTGGTTCTAGCACTTGCACAATAAGCTCACTGTCTCTGCCTGTCTCAACCCAGACAAATCTGATCTTATCCATCTATGGGTGATGCTGCAGACATTGTGGCAATATGTAGTTTATACGAGTTTGAGCATCTGAATGATCAGTAAGAAAGCAAGAAGATGAGTAAGGCTTCAAATAGCTACCTCTTGGAGCAGTTTTTCTGAAGATTAATAGAAACAGAATGATGTCTGGAAGAGAGTTAGCATCCTTTTTACCTGATTGCCTTTATTTCATTCGAGGCTCTGTTCATGAGAGTACTTCAGCCTCAGGCTTCCATGCTGCTCAGCACAACACAGTAGGCAGGCCCTTGATTTATTACAAGATAGTAGAACACAGAGTTAATCAAAACAGTATTATCTTGACTAATTGCATTGTACATGGGACTCCAGCTCTGGGGTGGCCAAACCTGCTGACCCCAGAAGCCCTGTGAAATGTAGAGCCAAACTCTTGCATCCTGACACTTCTGTTTGGATTCCCATCCCCATGCCATGACCTCACCACCCCATACTCTGGCTTCCTCATGCTCCCCTTTTCCCTGGCACTCCTCCATAAGCCGATACCCCTTATTTTCCAAATCTTTTCTATGTCCCAGGAGGTTCAGCACACCTGTTTTCAAGACCTCAAAGGTGCAGTTGCAGAATCCCTCCAGCTCCCTGCCTTCCTCAGAAACCTGTCACACATATTTGAACCTCCACACCCCCACATGAGTCCTGTGAAGCCTCACAAGTGTTGATCAGTTCTAGAGACTGCTGGAATCAGGGCCTGCCACATCACTTTACCAGTCTGTGTCTGTGATCAGTAGAGTCTTGCAGTAGTGAGTAGCTGAAATCCTTGTCTTAAGAGCCAGCTGGAGCGGGAGGAGTGCCTGCTGAGTTTTGCTAGGCAAAAAAGTTGTCTACATAACCACTGGCCTGAGTCCCACTGCTCCCATCTCAGGTCATCTACCATCCCTTTTCCTCCTCCAGTGCTATGACAGGCAAAATACACTAAGAGCTGTAAAAATTCTGGAGAACTATAATTGAAGTGATACTTTTGGCTTCTGAGTCAATGTTGGCTACCTTGCTGCAATTGAATGTATCATAAATACTATCTAATTTGATTTATTGTATCCTTTCTCTAGGGGTCTTCTTCAGAATACAAATCACCTTTATTTTTCTTGACATTTAAAAGTGCTTATAGGTATTTGAGGAGGAGTCACAATATCAGTTTGATAGCAAGTAATAAATATAATATCTTACCTTGAAAAGAATCAAGGGTGCATTCCATAATGTGAAACATGAGACGTCTCAAGAAGAAAAAGGTGTGCGGAAAATGTGGCATGCCTTAAATTAAAAAGATAGGAACAAGAACTGGCAATATTTTTCATGTAGTGAACTCCAATATGATCAAACCCTGAGCTCTATTTCTGCATTAATAATCCTGTACTTCAAATGGCTGACCAGACAGACTTATTAATTATATATTAGATATATAAGAGATATAGTGCTGATTTATGTAACATAGACATAAATATGTAACACAAACATTAGTCTTTGTGACTAAACACACATGCTTATTTATTTTTTCTTTGTTTTCATTTATTGCAAGTGTTTATTGTAGCCCTTTATGTATTAACATTTCTGAAATAATGCAATTTCAAACTACTGGCCTGGTTATGTGACTTTTCCTGATTCCCCAGAGATGCAAAAATTTAGCATCCTTTAGTCCTGATTTAATATTTAGCAACGCAAATTGATAGCAATGTTAGTGAGATGAGTTTTATGTTTCTCCAGTTTGCAAGGAAGCAACAAGCTAACTCTTCAAGCTACATCCTTCAATATAGTTTGCCTTGAAATCTTAACAGGATTAACGTTTCTGTGTCAAATGGATGATACGTACTCCCAAAAAAAAGTGTTACCAATGGTCACTGCACTCTCAATGGCTAGATATAGGTCTCATCAGATGAGCAGCTACTTCAGATTTACTAACTAATATCTTAATACAGTAATCCTTAGAATTAAGTATAATGGGCTACGGGTCCCCATGGTTAGGCATCTCAGAAGTTTCCAGGTGATTTAGGGGTACTTTGCAAAACTAAGTAAGCAGAATATGTTTTTGTAGACTCATTATTGTTCTAGGAGAAGGATGTATGTGTGTTTCAAGATGAAGTCTTTTCCATGTAGCAACTAAGTAAGTTTCAAAGCCTGTAACATTTCACCCAGTTAAATCATCTGGTGGTAAGAAAGTCTGCAAAGGACTGGTACCCAGGAAGCTGAGGCTAAGTGACATAAAGGCTGATTCAGAAGCACTGAATGGTTCTCTCTAGCTAAATGCTGGTGTTTCACATTTTAATGAGCCTGACAGAGGATTCTCCAGTTCTTTACCAGGGGACAGCGCATAAGCATCTGTTTAAAAAGCCTTTTCTTTCCTTCACTGCTGTGTGATTCCCAAAGGGAGTAAGATCTTCCCTGGAACTGTAGGGAACTGAGGGATGTTGAACTTCTGCCCACATGGCAGCCTTCTGCCTGACAGCATGGAGCATTAGTCCCAAGTGCAGGGAGGGGGTTCAATAAGGCACATGAAGGCTTGGAGTGGTGGTAATAGATTCCACACACACAAGGGGCAACTGGATCTGAGGCCAGGCCTGTCCCCACCCCAACATTCCTGTCCTCAGATCTGGTTTAGTTCTGGTCATTTCATTTTAGAATTTTGTTAATGAATGTAGGGTCTCAGAGCAAGACATAAAGATACATATTATAACTATAGTATGAAGGATTGGCAAGAGTATGTCTTTAAGTTTATGAAGTTTAATGAGATAAGAGAAGGTATTGGAGATTTCAAATTATAAGAAAAGGAAGATAGAATATTACCTTTTTCAGTAACATTAGTGAGATGAAGCCAGATATTTTTAAAGCTGTGATACAAATCAGAAAATACTGTTTTATACAGGGTATAATTAGCATGTGGAATTCGATGCCAGGAACATGATTCGATGCCGGCGACATGACTGGGCCAGAAGGGCGCTCTGAGGAGCCCTTAGGCAGCCAGCACTGTGGGCCAGAGCGCTGGGATTGGCCCAGGGCGGTCACCTCACCCACCCTCACCTCCCCTGCCTGTTGCTCAGGCCGAGCTCACAACTTGCTGCCCATGGCAGGGAGGGAAGAGGTGGTGGCCACATCACTGCCTGGCTCCCCAAAATGCGACCTGGGGCGTTTTCACAACAAACTCCTGCCCTTTCCTCACCGCGTGCCACACACAGGGATGCCACTTGCAGCAACAGGCTGGGAAGGACTGCCTCCTGAGCCTGCCATCTGCCTTACTGGGCGTCTCCTGGGTGCAGGCACCGACCACCACTACCATCTTGCACACGTGCAGCTGCACTTGACTTGGCTGGATGCCGACTCCGAGGAAAGGGCTTTATCCTGGCCCTGCTGAGTGCAAACAATGGCCATCGGCTCTGGGAATGAGTGCTAATTGTCCTCAGCTGTGGCTCTTGCTGAGTCAGAGGCCGTCCTTCCCTGCAGGTGGGACATGGGTAGGTAGGTTGCACACTGTTGAGGCTGGTAAGTTAGATGGATCCAAAAAAGGGAGATCTATTTATCTGGCAGCACATGCTGAAGTGCTTTGCTGGATTGGCAGTTTCTGATATTATCCACATATAACCTGAGCAGTATTTTTTAAACAGTAGTTCTTTACAATTATGCTTTAGGCTGGAAGATAACTAACCTTACTGGTAAGCTAAACTTTGCCATTGAGAGGGATGCCACATGAGGGGCAAAAATGTGGGGGTATTTGCTAGAAAAGCCAACTTTCTCTTTACTTTGCGAGTGCAAAGGAAGGAGCTATGTCCCTTCTATTTAGTGCTCCCCAAGAAGAAGAGGGGGGATATTTTATTTTATTTATTTGTTTTAGTAAGTAAGCTTGCATTTTATTTATTCATTCTCCTCACTCAGTTTGAGCCCTGAGCATAGTGTTAGGTAGGTACCTGGTGCAGTTGCTGCCAGACGTGTGCAACTTACAACTCTGGTACTAGCATCTCCAAGGCCATGCCAACTCTGATCTTGCAGTAAATGGTTGTTTAATAGAATATTTCTGTGCTTCTATCTCACTTTTTTGTTACTTTAAAAACCCAGAAGCCTTGTATGGAGCAGTGGTTGTCAAAACCTAGTTTGACAATGAGTGTGACCTTTCAACAGCCTTTGCAGATGTTTGGGTTTTTTTTTCTCATGAGGGCTTCCTGAAAAGCTTTTTATCTAGAAAGTGTCCTCTAGATCCTGGAAGCTGAAATAGGGAATGATTGTAGACCATCAGTCACCTCAGTGTTTTCATCTTCACAGTGAATTTGGTACACAGACTTTTAAATGTGCTGATACAGTTTTACTTTTTAGCAAAAATTTCCCTTTCACCTAAGTTATGCGTATCACACTTATTGACAGGTAGTTCAAAGAATTACTGCTGCGGTAGCACAATTCATATTTCTGGGACAACAGTAGCTCTTCAAGCCTGATTTAAAGGACTTGGAGTCTTTTGGTTTATGTATCATATATTTCTCTTCCATCTTGCCAGACTTAGATGCATGTTTTAGGAAGTGCCTCTGGAAAACCCATTTCCCACTTGTGTGATGCATGATGAGGCAGGAAAACCGCAGGAAAACCACAGGAACCAGTTTAGCCTCATCATTTCTTTCTCCATTTATAAAATGAAGGTACTCATTAGTAATGATTCATCACTATCTGCAATATCCTACATGAATATTCAGTTTAACTTACTCATTAGCTGAAGGCATGTGCACTTTGTTCACCTGCTGCAAAATACACCGACTGCATTGTGAAGTCCCAATCACTGTTACAAAAGCATCACGCGTTGTTGTCTGTTTCAGAGGGAGAGCACAACCAGTGTCAATAAGAGTAAGTTTTCTTTAATCAATATATTGTTTTTCTTTCCACAGGTATTTTCTCAGTGCTCAGTTTGGCTTCTGAATGTACCACTCTTGCTGCTGAACTTCCCAAAGTGTCTTATGTGAAGGCCCTAGATGTCTGGCTGATTGTTTGCCTTCTCTTTGGGTTTGCATCCCTGGTGGAATATGCAGTGGTTCAGGTAATGCTAAACAATCCAAAGAGAATTGAAGCTGAAAAAGCAAAGATTGCTAAGGCAGAGCAAGTGGAAGGGAAGGGTGGAAATGCTGCCAAGAAGAACACTGTGAATGGCACAGGGACTCCTGTCCACATCAGCACTTTACAGGTAAGAGCTGCAAAGCTGTGTACACAAAATCAGCGTTATCCTTTGCTAAGGCAATTCCAGGAATATACTGTCATAATAGTTTTGGTCAGTGCTTAATCTTAGAAGAGGTCAAGACATTAAAAACATGCTGGTAATTAATGGCTAGCAATCTGAACAACCGGTCCCTAGTGATTTGGGGTCAGAGGTACTAAACGAAAAATTTGTCTTTTAATATCCTAGCACCATGGTTGCTGCTGAGCTTCAGGTAAATAAAGTATCAAGCAGCTTTACAGTTGCTATTTTTCTCATAATAAATAGCAGCTGTCAAGCCGTAACTATCCAGAGGACAGGACTCTCAGTTAGTATTTGCTGAGAGTGTACTCAAATAACACCCGTCTCATTGCTTTTCTCAGGATGGCCACAGCTGCACCGCATTGCATGTCAAGCATCTCTGAACTCGGGGATTCAGAAGTCTTGGCATTTGTAAACAAAAGACAGGTCTGTTTGTCTGTCAAACAGTTCCTGCATTTCTTGTGTTGCCAGATAGAGTTTATGGGTAAATTGTTCAGATCTCATTATGTGGGTAAAAGTGAGATGTACATCTTAGCTCAGGCCAAAGTTTTCTATCATGCTGGTAGCTTCCTGGTGTTGCGTAACTCCCCTGTGTGCTCAAGGAGTTATCTGTCCTCAGTCCTGAGTGACATTTAAATGACGTTTATTCTACAGAAGAAAATATGTTTTGCTACAGTATATGAGATGTGAATTTGGCTTATAGTTTTCAGTGACTCAGCAATTTATATGTATAAAATAAAGCTATTAGGCCAGACCCAAGTGATAGTATTGGTAGCATACAATGTGACTGCAAAGCTTCTTTAAGGAGGGAGTAGTTCATGCTGAAATTACAGAACCCTGTCCTAGTATCAAGCTGACATTGCCCCATAACTGATTACCCACAGTCCAGAGCAGGTGCAGATATTGCAGAGTGGTGCAGTTGACCACCATAATTCTCTGGTAGAAGAATCTCCTGGGAACTGTTTTGGCATGCAACCAGGCTCAGCTTAGAGGAAGCCCATGTCTGCTTTGACTTGTGTCATAAGTAATTCCCCAAGCCCAGGCCACGTGGGAACTGAGTAGAAAGAAAGATGGCTTTGCTACAGTCTTGCTTCCTCTGAACTGAATTTTTGTGTTTAGCAATTTGTAGGTCCCAAATTCAGCTGTTTCTTGTGACAAAATAGCTGCAACAGTCCAGCAGATCAGCATAAAATCTATTTATTCCTGCTTCAAGTACTTAAAAAGTGTTAGGGTACAGGGTTATTGTTCCTTTTTTATGACAAGAAATTGGGTAAAGGGATAAAGTTTTCAGTATATCCTAAAAATTAAAAGCTTGATGCCATTTGTAATTGAAGGTGAGGAGAAGAGACCCATCCCTCTAGCAGAACCTGCAGGGGTTCACCTGGAAGTTTTCAATGAAAAGCTGTCAGTAAAGTCAGTGATCTCAGCTAATAGTCACCAACAGAGAGTGAAGTTGGCAGGATAAAAACAATGCTTACAACCTGAGAGTCAGCCAAAGATGGAGAAGGCCTTCCATGGATGCATAACTGCTTCTTCCCTCCACCAGATCCTGCGTAGTGGCTGACGTAAGAGCTGGATGTTGCCAGCACACACCAAACTCCTGAGTGTCTGTGCTTTATGACTCATGCGCCCTCCAACAAAACCCTTGAAATGTCAGTGCCATTTTAAGCCTACAGGTTTATCAATATGGCTGATTAAAGTCAAGTGTTCCATCCAGCAAAATCAGCCTGAATGTGTAGAAAAAAGAGAAAACCTGAGCACTTCTACTGCATTTGCGAGGAGCTGCAATGTTGATGCATTTGCAGGCAAGAAGCCATGAGAAAGAACAGTTTGGCTTCCTTAGCTCATAGCGGCTGCAAGATGTTCTAAGTAGAGAAGAAAATTATGCAACCTGGTGGTAACTGCTGACACTGGCTTTTTATTGGGAGTCCTCAGTAGGAGTTTGCATGTGTTTCCTAGCAATATAACATCATACAGTGAGAAAAACAAGCAACAAGGGAACGGTTTGGAAGATGAATCAGTTTTCCTTTTGCTTTCACTGGTGGCCTGATTACAGGGGGAGATTGCACTGTTAACTATAACAACACCCCTCAATTTGAAAAGTCACATTTACGTCAAGCCCATTTATAGAAGCTGTCCCCCTCAGATAATGTGCTGATGACTGGAGAGAACATTTGCCGAAAGAATTGCTCAGGCAGGTGGTGAATAGGACTATGCAAGTGGTGGGAATAGCTCTAAACCCAGTTACATTTGAAGAGAAGTAGTGCTATTACTTTCCTCATAATTTCGGAGCTGCATCTAGGCTTTGAAACCTGATATGGGTTATGTTCATCTCTACTGATTTATAATGTATCTGATCACTGGTGGTGACCTTTGATGATCTGGTCTTCCCATATTGTCTTTTCCCCTTGAGTGGCACTCCAGACTCAGATTTTTCCTATAGAACCACCAGAAACCCAGTATACATTTTATCTTCTACACAAGGCCACAGCCTGCCATCTGTTTTAATAGCTCCTGACAGCATTTCAGGTACAGGGTGGGTACTTTCTGCTCTAGTGACTCATGTATCCATCCTTGGAGATAATTCAGAACATGACTGTTAAAAGGCCCTGGGCCATCTGCTTTCATCAGGAGCTTGGTCTAGATGATCTCCAGAGGTCCCTGCCAACTTCAGCTATGCTGTAATTCTTTGATGTTTTATGTATAAATGTTTTTTTTTGCTGCACTTTGCAGTTAGAGGTGTAATGAGAATTTGCAAGGAGTATAATATTTGAAATGTGATTTTGAATTCCTGCTGAGCTGATCCAGAAAACGTACTTGGTCTGAATACACACTCATGTTAAACAATCATTACTTTATTGATGATCTACATCTATCATTATGGCAAGAGCAAGAGAAAAGCAAAAAACAAGTGAAAGAAAGATTAATCACTAAGTTTGTTAGAACTACTCCTTCATCTTGTATGGAAGACTCTTAAACAACTGGCAGCCCTAGTGACAAATCTGCATGCCAAAAGAGGTTGGGTGCAGCAGAAGAAATTATTTCATGGCAGAGGAGAGGTGCTGTGTAGGGCAGAGAATGCTGCGCTACAGTCGGGAGGCACTTGAGCCTGAGGGATGCATGCTGAGTTTAAGTGGCTGCCAGTGCTGTAGCATGTTTGAAGCTTTACTAGAAGTGAGGGACAATCTATTTCTACTCTCAAAAATTCTTGAATCAAAAATTATGGCATTTTATATTACACTTCATCCTGGCGGATAAAGAGGAAGTGATCACAGGATGAGCAGTCAGTTGAAAAGGATCTTTATTCTATTTGCACAAAAGAAATCTAGTCAAGTCCTGCTATTTTTGATGCTGTGAAAAGACAGATTTCACAAATTTGAAAAGTATTTTTTCTCATGTCAGTGGAAGAATTTAAACAAAAAATATGAATGATCCTGGTGAGCTATCTAACGAAGTTCAAAACAGCTACAGACCAGAGGGAAGGCTATACTAATTTAAAAACAAAACAAAGCAAAAAACCTACCAAAAACCAAAAGCAAGCCAACAAACAGCACAATTGAAAACAAACTCCCCAAAGACTGAAAACTAACTCAGCTTCAAGCATTTATCTTTTTTTCTCACTGGCAAATGGAGAAGTTGATAGCAATTAATGTAAGCTGAAATCCAGAAAATAGGTGTAGAAAATAGGTGTAGGTAACAAAAGAGATAAGTGGTTAGCATAATTGAGAACAGTAGGAACTTAATTTGCATGTATAGCAAAAATGCAAAAGCCAGTACAAAGAGTATTGGTCCAACACTAGATAGAGATGCTGTAAGTGTCACAAATCAGCAGAAAAGGCAAAAGTGTTGAACCAATATTCTACACTGTGTTTTGGGAAAAGCCAGATATATTTATCAGATGATGAAATAGCTTTTATGGACAGCAGCTAATGAGGATGTTAAAGAGTAGCTATTAAACATTTGACAATCAAGATTTCCGCTTAAGTTGCCTCTAGGTTTTTTTAAAGAGCTGGTCCACAAGTGCTGTGGAACACTAATGTTTATTTTTTAATAAATCATTTTAAATGGAGAGGGTTCCAAAAGACAGCAAGAAACTAACATTGTGCCAGTCCCTTTTAAAGCTAAATGGCATAACATGAGTAAGTCTGACCTGAATTAGTGGGAAATACTGCATAGCTAACAGGAGGTTGACTAATAATAATTATTCATAAGTATTAATTATCTTTGTTATTATTCATAATTCAGCCTCATGTTAGCTAATAAATTTAAATGGGTCAGTGAAATTAAAGCTGATATGTGAGTTTATTGATTTAATCAAACTGAATATAATTTTTAAAAATATTATCAAATACATTGACAGAAGTAATGATGTAAAGGTAAGAAACTCAGAGGAACAGTTGACTTGGCTTCATATGTCAGCTGATTACATCATCTGAATTATGCAAAATCAAGGTTAGTTTTGTTACCATCTGTAAGTACCAGCAGTTAATCAGACGAAATGTAACAACCTTGTGACTGAAAATTGGAGCCAAATAAATTCAGGTTAGAAATAAGGTACATATGTTTGTGAGGAACAAGGTCATGGAAAAATTCCTTCATTCTGGATGTTTTTAAAGGAGAAGTTGGTAATAGGTTGCTCAGCCAGTGAATGTGGAGAGTGATGAGGAGCACTAGAGGCAGCAAAGGCAGCAATGGGCATCTAGTTCTCCCTCTCTGCCAGTCTGCATGCACAAGCAGCACTTTCTTCTTCTCTTTCCATGCTTTCTTATCACATTATTCCCCTAATTCCACAAACAAAGGCTTTCTGAGCCAGGAATGGCCCTGCTGTAGAGGCTTATATGGTGCAGCCCTGGACACCACAGCATCCAGGGCAGCCACAGGTGCTGGGCTTGGCACTGGCTGGGTACACATCAGTCTCAATTTTGTAAAAGGTGAGAAAGGATCATTGCCTTCTGGCTTCTAGGAATCATTTTTAGGTATTTCTGAGCTGTTCAGCAAAAGGCAGGTGTCCTGTCCAACATACCAAACCTAGACAAGGTGGCCCTGTCTGGAGGGAAATGGGAACTAGATCTGTGTTTTGAGCCAAGACCCCAGAGTCTTGTCACCATCCTGTGCCCTCCTCAGCACCTCTGGCTCCCTGCTGGAGGGACAAGGAGCAGCTGTCCAGCTCCATCAGGGATCTGAGGAGGCCCCATGCCATTCCAGCTGCCTTCCCTTTCCAAACAGCTGCTCCCCATCCCTTCAGGGGCAAAGCCATGGACCTGATGGGAGCATCCTGTGGACTGGGGCTGGCCTACAGGTCATGATACTGGAGCACAATGAAGTAAATTATATAAAATATTTTCAACAGCCAAATTCTGTGTCAGGATTAAGTCAAAAGGATGTTACATTTAACAATGTTTTACTTTATTTACAAGTCTTCAGTGTAGTTCTCTAAAATCAAGTCCCGCAGTATTATTGTACCCTTTGGTGTCTGGAAATTGTTATGCTTCTAGCACAAACCAAGATAGAGTGAACAAAAAACAAATGAACTGCATTTAATAAGGATTATCTCAGTCTGATTAGGGAAAGCTGTAGGCCAACTGAAGCAAATTTAGATTAAAACATAAGAAATATTGGAGAGTTGGAAGAGATGTATGAGAAGAAGTTTAAAAATATGTCTAGGAGATGACGATGTAGCAAATAGAAGCACATTAGATTTGTAAAGCCAGGGAAATGTAAGAAATTATTTTTTTAAGTATAACATATAACTTACTAAAGAAAAAAATGTGTGAGGTTGCTCTTGCAAGGGAAATTGTGTCACCCTGATAAATCAGTACTCTACTGACACTAAACTAAGCAGAGCTCTGTTATAAACATGCTGCAAACAGTCCTCTCCTTGTAAGGTCTGGGTGACATAGAAGCTATTCCCTCAGTTCTCTGTCTCCCAGGTGAATGAGAACTGACCTGTAGCAGCCTTTAGGGAAGCAGTATCTGCAGCTGGAACAGAAATACTCTGCATTGTAAGTGGGAGTGCTTAGGCTTCAATTAGTGTAACTGAGTTTTACAGTATATTGCTGGTAGTATGAGGAATGAACTACAGGTTTGCAGATCCAAAAGGAGGCTTGTAATTTCATAGTTTTGCTTTATCATAATGAAACACCTATCTTGTTTTTCTTTTGTATAACCTGCCATCTTGCTTTTTTTTGTGTGTAACCTCCTCCTCAGTTTTAGTGCATTGGTTTCAAAATATACTGTTTTCCTGAGAAATACAAGTCTGGCAAATGTGTGGAGATGTATCCAGTCTTTGCTAAGGGAATGCTGTCGTGCTTCTCTCCCACCTTGTTCCAGAATCAACATTGTCAGTGATGAGAGTAAAAGCTCCAGCCAAAGTTTAGATCTCTTCCTGGCTGCCTCAGTTATTTTCATCCAGGATACCTTGTCAGTTGTCATAGAGAAGCTAATAATATTCTTCAGAATGTTTTTCCTTCATCTGGAAGTCTGGTACTGCATTTCACTGTTATTACTTTACTTACAAAATGTAATGATACAAATATGCCAAACTATCAGTCTGAGACTGCAGAAAACCAGAGGTGGACAGAGCTGAGAGTAAAATGCCTGAAGGTGTGGAGAACAGGGAGGCTACTGAGGAGGAGGGACAGGCAGCTTTTGGAAGGACAAAGTTTTAGAGGATCAGTGGCTCCAAGAAGCCCTCATGAAACTATTAATATCAGTTGCCCATGTGTATAACCTGATTTGTGAACCAGCATTTTTTCCAACTGTCAGGTTATATATGGGAACATATGACATTATGAATAATGCAGTTAAGTTTCATAACCTGTATTTTTTGTTGTTCTTATTTTTATTTTCTGCTTTACTGAATAGTTTGTTTGAAATGAAACATTGGCAGAGCTTTATCCAATTCACAAAGCACAATGCCTTGCAAGCAGGCTCCAAATCCCTTCAACCTTCCAGAACAGCATGCGTGTGGTCCTCTTGGAGAGTTGTTGTACCTGAAAAATAAACATTTTAAGATCCAAGAAAGCAAATATAGGAACCATTGAGGGGGTTTTTCACAAAAAACACTTCAGTTTTGTGGGGACCACATGCTTTCTTTCTTTTAAATTGTCTTTTGTCTGTGGCAGTACAATTGTCTGATCTGTGAAAGCGAATTATTCACATAGGGTTACCCCATAGCACAGTTGTACCCAAGAGCACTGACAGAGCTGTAGGAAAGAGAAGTATTCTGTTCCTGGGTTTAGATTTCCCAGTTATACAGTTCTCCAGTGTATATGGATGGGAGGTGCTGAGAACAGTCTCTCATCTTTGTTACCTGTCTTTAGAGAGGCACCAAGGACTGCAGGTACAAAGAAGGCACCTTCTTACTATGCAAGGTGGTCACCCAAGGGTGAGATATAGGAACTTGAGCTGGCTACTTGGTAGAACCCAAATAGACTTTAACTGTTGCATCCAGCACTGAATTTTAGGCTTAATTCTGACTGTATCTTCCAGGCCTCAGAAAAATGTAAGTATTGAATAGTATCTGTCCTGCAGGTTCATCAGCACGGAACGGATTTCCAAAAATACTCTCTATGGAAATGCTCTCTCCCCTTCTGTCATCTTAAAATGAGTCTAACTATAGCAGGTTGCACAGCATGAGGCACCTTGTGCATGAAAAGTTACACAATTATGAATGTTTGGATTAGTTTATGTGATTGACTGATCATCCTTAAGTACTTTATAATGCAACCATTCAGCAAATGAGGCTGATGTAATGTATCCCTATCAACAAGTGATTTCCTGTATGTTTGTGTGCAGAGTTCTCTATCAGCTGCATGAAGTTTTTTCATTAAATATGGTGAGTAGATAACGATTCCTGTCACTCTCTCATAGGTTGGTGAGACCAGATGCAAAAAAGTTTGCACTTCAAAATCTGATTTGAGATCCAATGATTTCAGCATCGTTGGAAGCTTGCCAAGGGATTTTGAATTGTCTAATTATGACTGTTATGGGAAGCCCATAGAAGTCAACAATGGGCTTGGGAAATCTCAAGCCAAGAACAACAAGAAACCTCCTCCTCCCAAGCCTGTCATTCCATCAGCAGCGAAGAGGATCGATCTTTATGCAAGAGCATTATTCCCTTTTTGTTTCTTGTTCTTCAACGTCATATACTGGTCCATATATTTATGATGATTTTTTTTTTCATATGTGTAAAATATATCCCATTTCGTTATTGCAGTCATGAAGGCCACTGTGTGACATTATTTGCATTTGCAAAGCAATATGTTTTATTTTGATGCCATGTGATTGTACTGAACTTATGGCATCTGAAATTTGAATGAAAGCATGACACTGCAATGTCTGTGCTCTGACCAACTTTGTATATAAATGTACAGCATACATCCTGCTTTAGGAATATATATGAAGGACAATGCATACTACATTATGAAGCTGAATAATGCTCTACAGTTATTAGTAACATACGAAGATTTAAATTGTTTCTGACAATGAAACTGATATGCACGTTGAGTATTATTAAAGTCAGTATTCTAGTATATGTAGTATTTAACAGCTTTCCTGCTGCCTTACAGAGGAAAAAAAACAAACCACACCAAACATCTTGTTCTTGTATAATTTTAGATGGCACTGTTGAAGAAAAGCTAAGATGTGATTCATATTATTTAGACTTTGTAAATGAAAGCAGCATTGAACAAGCTGATCTTGTCTGTGTGAAAAATAAAGATCAGAGGATTACTAATTTTGTAAAATCAACTCATTTAGGAAAAAAACCCAACAATTGTATCCATCAAGCAGGCACACTTAAGTGTGTGAGAATATGCTGACAATAAAACACTGGGCCAAATTTTGACTGCTGGCACAAATGAGATACAATGTGTCAAAACCAAAAAGACCACTAAGGTCTGACCACTGATCAGACTTCTAGAATAAAGGTATCAGGAGTTTTTGAGAAACATCACAAGTTGCAGTTCAGTATCAGCTTATGTTACCCTTTTTTACATTATTCTGTCCTCTGGCTCATCTTCTGTATCATCTGACAAGCCTGCAGTATGTAAGTCTCACAGGTTTTTTTGTGCTTTGGATGTATCTTACTCCATTTGTTTTGTTCATACCCTTGAAAGTTTGCAGTTTAAACGAAGCAGTGAAGATGAAATCCCACTTCTACCAATAGTTACACTTTTTTTGTTTGCCTATTGTAGCACGGATGACCAAAGTTAACACCTAGCCACCGGCAGAAGTGAAGTTGTTTGGGAAGGTCTAAGAGGCTGAAGCTCTTAGGTATATCGTAAGACCTTGTGCCTATGTTTTAGTTAGTGTCTGCCCTCACCAGCTCATTAATTTGGCAGCTACATTTTGGAGAATAAGGTCTTATGCATGAGACAGTTCTGATAGGAGACTGCTCTCTGTATTCCAGAGGAAACCCTGTGACATGGAGACTACTAAAAATTATCTCCGTGGGTTGCATGGGGCAGGACTTGTGGTCTCCTGTGGGTGCCAGGGTACATCCCTTCATAAGGGCAAGTCATGAGGTGAAACGTTGCCAGAAGAAAGCTGCTTGTATGTAGGCATCTGAGTAGCCTGTGTTCTCGGGAACACATTGGGACTAGACCTGGAGAGCCTGCTGTAGAAAAACATGTCTCTGCTTGTAAAGCTGGAGCACCACAGTCAGTTAAATACTAAAATAAGACAGTTCTCACCAGCTTGGCAATTCATATAAAGAAATATGAATTATTGGCTCCTCACAGGCTAGGAAGGGACTAAATTAAAGTTATGAAACTTCCCATAGCACAGAAACAGACACAATCCCACTCACTGTGCTACATTTCTAGCTCATCCAGGATGTGTTGAGCCAGTGCAGGCCACAGGTGCACTGTTGGATCACTTGGCTGTTGCCCACCATGTGAATGTTGTCCGTGTCACATCCAGCCAGCACAACCAGGAGGTCAAAAGTAGGAACAGGAAAAAAAATCAAAGCCTGCCATGCTGGCTTTGCTGGGTACCCAGGATTTTTTCAGACCACTGCCACTTTCCATTCAACAGCCAATCAACAGGTTGATACAATTCGTGTGTGGGTTGAAGAGATCTGCTCTTCAGGATAAGGTCAGGTGATTTCTGCCAGCCTCCTGGCCACTTTCACATGGCAATTTCAGGGAGCCACTTTCCCAGGAAGTCAGAGTTTGTCCTTTGGATTTACTTCTGGTCTAAGGAAATGGAAGGGAAATCCCAGATGTTTCTAAACCATGTTGAATGGGGTGTTTTAAGGTCTAGTTCAACATTTTTATATTTCTGTCTGTTGAAGGTATTTACAGAATTGTAAGAGACTCTAAGAAGCAATAAGGATAAGTGAAAGAGAGGAAGGAAGGGAGGAGAGATTTTTCTACATACAATCAAAGTGCTATATTTATAGACATTATTTTTTCTCATACTTGTACTTTTTCTTACTTGTTACTTTTTCTTACTTCTTACTGGAAGGCAAGAAAAAAATTACCCTGTGCTGGAAATCGTATGAATTTGGGAAGATAATTTTCTTGTTAGAACTCTTATTAAATGATTTATCTGTAATTAATATCCACATTCTATCTGTATAATCTCAATTATAGATTTTATTGTTAAATTAATCTTTGTTCCTCCTTGCCTTCCTGCTTACTTTATGGCTTTTGTGTTTTATCGTAAAACATTTAATCAATAATACACTGTAATTGCTTTCCAGCTTACACAAAAAAAGAAGCAAAAAGAATGTGTATCGTTAAGATAAAGCTTTTGGTTCATTACAGCACAGAAACTAAGGACAGAAGCAAAGTTCCACAGCAAATTTGAAACAAAATTTAAAATAACCCCATGTCAGCTATGAAGTGTTAATTTTCTGTTTACTTAAACTGGATAATATTGCAGTATTTGTATTACCTCAAAATATATTAACTTGTCCTACTGAGCAGTAATATTTTTTTTTCCTTCTTTCCACTAAAGGTCACTGAGAGTTTTGCATACCATATCACATTATGGTCCTCCAGCACCCTCTAGTTGTAAAATTCTGCCTGTTGACTTATTTCTGGAACAAGGTGCAAATATAAAACTGTACAGGCAGTTAAGGATATCACTTGATAGTAGGGGGAGGAAAAAAATAATAAATTAAAAATAAATGCACAGAAAAATCAATGGACAGCTATAGAAACTTGTCATGCAGTATTAAAGGTGCAGAAAATAAGACATTCAAGTGGTAGCAAAGGTGAGGCTCATGTAATACATATTAGTAACTAAATTAACTAGTCATGATGTCTGAACAAACTGCATGACAGCAAAATCTGTTTCTGAGGGAGCAACCATCTGTGTTTCAGCTAACATTTGCTTCTCCTGTTTAGTGGTAGAAGAATTACAATTTTTTGTTCTACCCTTAGAAAACCTCAGTTGTTTGGTTTTTTTGCTGTTAAGCATCAAGGGAGAGCATCCGAAGGGTTGGTTCCTTTCTTTCAAAGTGTTACACCCCTATCTTTCTACTTGAAGGTTTTAGAACGTATTTAGAACACTGCATCAGGAATTTCCATGGAGATAAATGAATTCATTGCTTGACTGCATCCACAAATTTATGCTACACAATAAGTAAGGATGTGACTTGAAAACTGTAACAGCTGCTATGTGCTAATGCCCTGTTGGGATGTGTGAAATGCACGGTATGGAGTAATCCACACCTTACTTTCTCGTGGTAGCAGGAAATGTGTGGCTAAAGGGAGAGCATTTTCAGTGCCCAACAACCCATTACAGAGAAAGTAGTAATGTTGCCTTTTTGAGTAGTTTCAGCGAGCACGACCCAGAGAGATTGATCTGTCTGTATAATCACTCTGGAGCAAATGCACTTACAAGTAATGGTTATTTCAAAATATTTCACTCTGAAGTGAGACAGTATGTACTTAAGCAGTCTGTCATAGCTGTTAAGGTAATCTGTTAAGAGACGTTACAATACAGCTGAGACCATTGGTCTCTCCTTCAATTAAAGCAGCTTACCATTATGGTTATTGGGTGACGTGTGCTGAGGATATTCAGAGAATAGATAACAACAAATTATTTCTTTCCAAGGGAGAGCCACCTGAATATATGCAATGTCAAGCAATTTTTCAGGCTATAGAGATCACTTAATGCTGAAATGAGAACAAATGCAGTGTGCACCAGATAAAGGAATGATAGTACACTGTTACCTGATGCTTTTGCATACTAATTTTGGGATTAAGGAAGATAATGTGCCCACAAAAGAAAAAAGGGGAAAAAAAAATAAATATAAAATTCAATAATAAGGGGGTTTTGTGTCTACAATTCAATTTAGTTTTGTCTAACAATTTAATTGCTCCTTATCATAATAATACCTGTAACAGTTACCTAGTCTTTATATAAATGTGAAGACTTCCTAAAAAAAAGGAAAAACGATGCTCATCTGTGATTCCAGAAAGATACAGGAACTAGTTCTTTTCATAGGAAACCCTACACTTGAATAAAAACCAGAACATACAGAAAACAAAACACATGTTTTAAAGACATAAAATTCTCGTTGTTGTGGTTTTATCTATACTACTGTATCAAGTAAATCCCAATCAGCTGGGAATCTTGCAGCCCTCCCTTGCATTTTGGCTTACCCAGTAATGTTGCCTGCTCCTCTACCTCCCAGCACCTCTCCTCATTCCATCAGTGGTAACAGTATCAGCAGACATTTTTTAAAAAAAATCATGGCTATTTGGAAGTCTTTCTGAAAACCCTCCATTGCTATGAATATGTCTACACTGCAGTCACTGAAATGTCTGCAGCTAATGCAGGCTTATCCAAATTAGCTTTAAACTAGCTGACTTGGGAACGGCTAGCAACGTAGCCATGGTAACAGTGAGCTCCGGCTGGGATGCCTACCTGCTGGCGTAGGAAATTAAAAAATATACTTTGGTGTTAACCCCCACAAAGCTTTGTGCTGCCTTGGCTATTACGCTTGAGAGTTGGTTTAAAGTTAGCTCTTGTGGGAGTACCAGCCGCTGTCTGCGACATGGAGATGAATGCGGTGTGACGCACTGTGTGCTAGAGCAGGAGTATTTTTTCCCACTGGAGAAGTGAAAGATGCCACTGTAAAATAGTCTCGCAATGGCTCTTAATGACATACAGCATTTCTGCCATGTTTAATTTTGTGTATTGACAGGAATGTTCACTGGCAGTGCCAAAAATGAAACTAATTTTCCCAAACCAATCCATGTGTAAGAGTTTGAGCTGGATTTGCCCACCTGAAAAGGAATGAGGTTGCCTACTGAGTTTAGGTTGTAAGACTATCGCTCATACACATTAAAAGAGCCATTCTATTCAAAGTCCCTAACTCTAATAGTAGATATTAGATTGTAACCTTTATATGATTAGTGAGTCTAAAGAAACTAGTGAGACTAATGAAGTCAAGACAATAAAAGGTCTTCTTCCTCTTCCAGGTTGTCCATGGAGGTCAACCCTGGTTTTGAGGGGCACTGATTGCTTTTCCTTGTGGTGTTTCTAAACACATCAGTGCCTATCAGGGTTCTTGTCACAGTTTGACCCAGGATTAAGCTAATGACAACAAAACTGGCTTCATCCTGGCTCAAACCAAGACAGTTCTGGAGAGTAGCATTGACTGACTCCCTCCAAACAATGCAGGCATTGGAAGCTCGTGCATCAACTCTTCTTCCAGAGTATTGAGGTAAATCTCAAGTCTGCCTGGCACCATTACCTATCACGCAGAGGCA